CAGGGACTGATAACCCTAAGTGGGGCACTGCAGCTGGTCAACTAATGAAAATGTATCTGTGTTCTTTTATTTTTACTAAGAATTCTAGTAGAGTTCATCACTAAAGGCTTTTTTTCCTTTGGTCTCTCAGCTTCCTAGCCGACTTGATGGACAACTCGGAACTGATCCGGAACGTCACGCTTTGCGGCCACTTGCACCATGGCAAGGTACAGCCTGTGAATGTCTTGGGTGGGAGGCAGCTGAGGGGCAGCCAGTCCATTGAATGGATATGTGACCCATCCTGGTTTCGGATTGTTCCAAAGATACCTGGAAACTTAGAAATTGCTGGCTATACTACACACACTGCCATACAATAATGATTAATTACCACGTCAGGGAGAAGTCTGGGTTAGAATCCTTCTCCCTGACAATTAGTATGTTCTAGAAGTAAGGGAGGTTTTTTTTGTATGGAAGAGCTTTCCATTACATGAACATCCACTAGCTGTCTTAGTTGATACAATCTAGTCAGACATTTATCACTCAGCTGCTGTTTGGGAGAACTTGGCCTGAGTTAGGGAGATAACATTTTTGGAAATTTTGAAGCCACTTCTGGGGGGGGGGGGGGAATGAAACATGGGGGGAAACTGAAATATATTCATTTCTTCCCGAAACTACTTTTACTGATTGAATAGCACAGAATGCATCATTTATAACTTAGCATATAAAATTGTCCTTTTTGGCATATTTATGGAGTTTAAAAGTATAGTAAAGGTAAAGGTTTCCCTTGCTCGAAAGCCAGTCGAATCCGACTCTAGGAATGCGGTGCTCATCTCCGTTTCCAAGCCGAAGAGCCAATGCTGTCCAAAGACATGTCCGTGGTCATGTGGCCAGCATGACTAAACACCAAGGTGCTAAGAAGTATAAATACCTTCATTTTCTCTAAGGAAAAAAATAGCAAATTTACCCAGTCTGAGGAAGAGTTGCAAAGTGCTGCACCCTGTGCTAGTATACTACATGTATCTTTAATTTTTGCAGTCTGAGGTAAGAAAATATCACAGTTGAAGGTAGAAAACAAATTTTTGTAATAAACAAAAGAAAGTACATTATCTGGGGGGGAAACTCTCATAGGATGCCTTAGGAGCGCAAGCATGTTTGGATATTAACTTTAATCAGGGCTCTTTTTGTAGAAAAAGCCCAACAGGAACTCATTAGCATAATAGGCCACACCCAACAGCAGAAACTCATTAGCATATTAAGCCACACCATGACAGCACAACTCATTCGTATATTAGGCCACACCCCCGTGTTACCAGAAGTGTGGTCATCCAGCCACACCCACCTTTTGCTTCTTATTCTGTTTACTTTGCTTATTGTCAAAACCCAGGGCTTTTTGCATGTTAGACCACACACCCCTAATTGTAACCAATCCGAATGAGTTTCTGCTGTTGGGTGTGGCCTGTTATGCTAATGAGTTCCTGCTGGGCGTGGCCAACTTGGGAGCCAGCTGGAACTCCGTTCCTGTGCATTCCT